ACCAAAGTCTTTACTCAAAAACAGCTGTAAGTTCATTGAAAACTGAAAAAGGTTAATCTACAAAACAACTGGCCCATACCCTTGCAAAAGACAAAGACAGATGGAGGAATGTTCCAGATTATAGGAGACCAAAGAGACTTGACAACTAAATGCAATGTGTGATCCTGGATTGGCAGCTCTAAAGGACATTTTAGAGACAGCTGGCAAGTTTTGACCATAAACCGTGTATCGAATAATGTGATTGTGTCTATGATACGTTTCCTGAGATCTATAATTGTTCTGCGGTGATGTGAGGCTCTGATTGTCCTTGTTCTTAGAAAATATGCGACGCATTGAAGGGTAAAGGGGAATGACACCTGTAATGAATTCTCAAATGGTTCAGGGAAAAATCATGTGTGTGTGTGCATGTGTGTGCAAGTAGATAGAAAAATAGGTAGAAGATAGATGGACAGATAGAAAAATATATAGAAAGAAGGATAAGTAGAAAAATAGAAAGATAGAAAGAAAGATGATAGATAGGAAAATAGAAGAAGGGCTAAAGGAAAAGATTGATAGATCAGAGAGAGAAGGACGGTGAGAGGGAGAGACAAAGCTAATGTGGGAAATTGGTGATTCTGGAGGAAGGGCACAAGGCAGCAGTTCTCCATTGGAGCCTCGTCTGCCTGCAGGGGACACCTGGCAATGTCCTGAGACATTCTTCGTTGTCATAACTAAGGATGGGTGCTACTAGCATTTTGTGGGTGGAGGCCAGGGATGCCCTCACACAGTACAAAGAGTGATCGGGCCCCAAACATCAGTAGGGCCGAGGCTGAGAAACCCTGATAGACGGGACTTCTTTGCACTGTTTTTTTGCACTATGGGAGTTCTTCCACTAGTCTGTCCTTTGAAAGTAAAAATTTTACAAAAGAAATATTATAGGCAAATCCACAGAAACAGAAAGCAGATTAGGGGGTGCCAGGGGCTGAGAGGGGGAAATGGAGATGAACTATCCTTTTGGGGTGATGCAAATGTTCTAAAATTGAGGAGATGGTTGCACAACTCTGTGAGTATTGTGAAAAACACTTTCACACTCTCAGTGGTGAATTGTGTGGTGTGTGAATGAGATCTCAACAAAGCTGTGATATGGGAGC